CATTTACACAACATTGGACGAGAAAAATCCTTTATTTCAGGTTTAACATGTTAAACCTAACCCTAACCCTAAACCAACCCAATACTCTTTAATAACCCAAAACCAAACCTTGACGGAGGCAGATCAGAAAAATATCATGTATGATATTAACCTTTTTCAAGATGCTCATTTGTTTTGGAGGCTTCAGATCAGAAAATGCTAGAGAGTACAATTACAAACATCATATATTATGAGTGGTTCAGTCCGTAGGGACTTGAAACCAGTTCAAGTACCAGTTCACCTCCTGGCCTCTTAATGTATGTGCATGTGTGCATCAATATAACTGTGTGTATATGTAACTGTATAACAAACAGTACTGTAAACTGAGCAAAACACAGAGAGGAAACTGAATTTCGGACCTTGATGCCCCTCGGGATCCTCTAAAGGTCCATCTTCTTCATCTTCTTATTTGTTGGACTGATTTGATGGACTTGATGCATGACATGTATTATGACATTTTCATGAAATCCTTATAGTTTATTACTTTTGTAAGTACGTGATATTTCATGAACTTCGATCTGCACATTTGTCTATATTGACCCCTGAAAGAGAATACAATGCATCCCCCAACCATCAGGGGTCTGTTGTTCTGGCACACGTTGTAGCGAAATGGAAAGGGAGCGAGGAGAGAGATCTTTGGGGCTAAATAACCAGGGAAAGAGATCTGAAGCTGGTGGCACCCAGGCAGAGACACTGGATCCTCTTCATTGTTGCTCTTATCTTCTTCTCAAGAGTCTTCTGTTTCTCCATTTCCTCTTTTTTCTCACTTCGGATACATTTCTTCCTTTCTTCGATTGCCCTGGTTGCCCTTCGGAACATTTCAGTGGTGTAAAAATTTCCTCTATTCTTCTCTGTTATGTTTCTGATCTTGTCGAGCAGCTCTCTGACCTGAGAACGATCCTTCTCCTCATTATTGAAGACGTGGTACTGCCCGTTACATCTGTTCACAAGTTCCTGCAGGTCTTCACTATCCTTCAAGAACTCTTCGATAGTTTGGTCTTCGAGCTGATCACCGTGGGTAAAGAGAACCATGCTGTATCTGTCTGCTTCCTCTCCAAACATTTCCTGAATCTTCTGCACTGTCTGTTTTTCTTCATCTGCGAATCTTCCCAGTCTGATGACGACCAGGAAGACATGGGGTCCTGGAGAAGCAAAAATAAATGCTCTTACCAACATCGTTTCTGTTCTTTTCTTCATCAATCCTGGTGTCAAACAGACCTGGATTGTCAACAACAGCAAGTCTTTGTCCCTCCACTTCACCAACAGCCTTTTTACAGACAGTAGTCAGAGATTTAGGAGAGAACTCTGATTTAAAGTACTGTTTGCCCAGAATGGTGTTTCCTGTGGCGCTCTTCCCAACTCCGGTTTTCCCCACCATCACAATCCGGAGCTCCTCATATTTGTCTCTGGTCGAGTCTGAGGGGGAGAATGGATATTATTTATTCTCAGTTGTACTTTACAAGCACTTTATATTTTGCTAGATAACCTTTATGTTTTCTTGTTTGACAAAACACATAAACATACCGTAATGAAACTGAATGAATTGATCTTGATGAAGGCTTTCAAAGGCACAATTAAGGAGTCCGATTCCTTTAGGTTTCAATGATTTAAAGGTTGCTTGCAGTAATCTGACTTATTACTAATTTCTCTTTTATTGGCTTGATTATTTTGGTTCTTTTAATTTCTTCCCCTTTCTTTGTTTTTGTGTCTGTAACTATTTGTTTTTTATTATGCAGCTGTTTTCTGGCTAGGTAGCTGGCAACGTTATCGTTTGCTGTACCAAATAATTATCGACTGCTCAATAAACCCAATCAAATAAACAGCAGATTATTTTTGACACTAGTACTGTATAGCTGTCCGTTTATAAAGTGATGAGTAAAAAAACACGTGTCACTTTTTTGTTTGTTTTGTTTGTATAGTGCTGTGTTCATCGGAGCAACTGCAATGGCTGATGCACTGATGAAACTGTATTAGGTTAGTTGAAGGCAAAAATACCCATAATATTAGGTTCAACTTAATATTATTGCTTTCATCTAACATATACCGTTATGTGAAATCTGCTGACATAATACATTCAATTAAAGTTAACGTTTCCGTTTTTTGTCATTTTGTTCCTTCCACTATGTAGCCAAGATGGCGTAGAGCAGGGGTTCCCAAAGTGTGAGGCGCGCCTCCCCTGGGGGGCGCCAGAGAGCTTCAAGGGAGGCACAGCCGCCAGAAAAAAATAAAGAGAAACAGTGAAATCTAGCTCGTTAACTAACTTCAGCTAAATGTATGCGAGCGGCAAAATATGGATCGATTTTTAGTGAAGTTACCTAAAGTGAGAGAGGAGACAGCGTCTGTCAGAAAACGGAGGAAGTATGACAATGATTATTTGAAGCTAGGATTTTCATGGACCGGTCCTGATGACACTCCACTCCACAGTGTGTTATCTGCAACGAGGTGCTAGCTAATGACAGTATGAGACCATGTAAACTCCGGCGTCATATTGAGACGGAACACCCATGTTTGGTGACCAAGCCACAGGAGTTTTTTGACCGGAAGCTGAAGGAATTGCAGTCACAGAAAAATGTCATTGACACATTTAGTACTGTGAATATAAAGGCAACCGAAGCATCATACCGAGTGGCGTTACGGATAGCTAAGGCAGGTAAACCTCACAACATTGGTGAAACGTTACTCCTCCCTGCTGCTAAAGACATCTCCGTCTCAACTATTTCGCTCCGAGTGCAACGTATGAGGAAGCTGCCATCCTTAACCTCAACATGTTTAAAACATAAAGATAAAGAGGTTTAAAAAAGCTATTGTTTAATGTTTTAAGGAGGTGACGCTCAGCCAATCAAAAAAGAGAAAGGTAGCGAAAACAGAGCATTTTATGACATTTTCTCTTACTGGACCTCTTTGAAATGCAATTGAATACCCCTGCATTATAGCAACAATAATAATAATAATAATAGCAATAATAATTGGGAGGCGGGGCACGGCTGTGATTATGTTAGGGGAGGCTCACCTTCCCACACTTTGGGAACCCCTGTTCTATATAATCTGATGACTAAAAAAGAATTTTCATTGACAAAAAGTAGACTCAAATAATTAGTTTTCTTTGACTAAAATAACACTAAAATGCTCAGACTTTTAGTCAACTAAAACTTGACTAAATAAAAACAGGATGAAGGTGACTAAATATGACTCAAACTAAAAAGGAAATTTAACACAGGACTAAGACTAAATTTAAAAATAGCTGACAAAATTAACACTAGTGTGAACAGATGATTTTCCTCCTAAGGTGGTTAGAAAAACATACAAATGCATGTTATCTTAATGTCTTCCCATTACTTCAAAAATGCCTCAATGTATCAACGGTATGTAAAACAGCAACGCAATGCAGACACATCTCCATGTAGCTACTTTCCAACGATGGACAATAATCATGAGACTCAACGTAAGGAATTTAATCGGTAAAACTTGTCTTGAACTCGAAACTTGATCAACTTTAGGTTTGGGAACACGGTGTCTCTGAGGCCTCCAGTTGAGCAGCATGTGCCCGTCCTTAAATTACACCCAGCATGTTCAGAAGATAAAAGATATCAACATCCTAAATAATTTGGATTGAATATACCCCAACAACTTTGAAAGCTTGCCAGAAAATGTTCAAGTCCAGCTTACATGGTTCTTAGATTTGATGAAATGAAAGTTTAATGATCCCTGTTGGAAAATTGGGCCACAGTTCCAGGGAAAAAATATATATAATGCAGACAGGAAGCACTAAATTGAGATCAAATGAGGTAACAAATAAAAATACGATAAATGTAAGATGCACTCGCATAGGATAACATGTTCTATCTCATTACCCACAAGGCTCCTCACCTGCTTTCCATCTCAAGTCAAATGCCCAAGGTAGTCATGATCCATTTATTAGCAGACACATTAATAGCTTCACACACTGACACATCGCTCGGTGCAGTAGATCTGAAAACGATAAAACGCTCCTTTTGATTGTTGACGTGTTCGACAGGTAATTAGTTACAATCTTTTCCAGGTTTCCCTGCGGGCTTTTAATAGTATCTGTAGAAATTAGAGTGAGGAGCAGCGAGAGAAATGGTTCCCGAGTTATCTTCACACGGGGCTGAACAGAAGTAGACACTTCATTTGCAAGATAAGCTTAGCCTTCCGTAGCCGGACCTTTCTGCTCACTTCGTTAAAGCAGAGGAGGAACATCTGATTGAAATAGGAATGAAGTCGGGGAAAAAGTCCTTTCCGTGTGGTTTATCAGAGTTCAATGTCTTTTGTGGCCGAAAATAGAAACATCTTGAAACCAAAAACCACTTATTATAAGTGATTGGTCGAAATGTAAGTACAAAATAAGCGTTGGTTAGAAGATAAATTGGTTGGAGTACAATCAGACCTTATCATCCACTAGCAGTAGAGTTAAAACAGGAAATGGTACTTTGCATTGAATCATCCAATCACTGTAAAGTAAGGTTAGATGGTTCAAGTGAAGGCCAATCATGTTTCCCTCTCCGCTTACTCTTGTGTTGAAAGCAGGAATATTCTTTCTCTGTAAAACATCCGTTGAGCCAGACTAAGATCAGATAAATGAAGTACGCCTCGTGTTCTGCAGCTATTCAAAATATAATTACCCAGTACTGTATATCTGCCTGAAGGCACGTTTCTGTATGAATGAAAGGAATAAATAGCTAATTAAATGCAACGAAAAGCAGAGCAAAGCTTTTATTAGACCTTTCGGTATGCAGATATTTCCTTGAACAAAAGAAAAGCTAAACCTCATGCATTCTTTCTGAAGTCACATGCCACTCGTTTACATGTAGACACTCCTATATCTTTCCAATTATGGTTGACATTTGTTTTTAAAGAAGAAGTAGCCTTAAGGATGAACAGCTGTTACTGTAGAAGCAGTAGTTACCTTGTGATTGACAGATTGCCAATACAGCAATCTCATATTTGGGTGATGTCCGTGTTTTTCATTTTACAACTTCACCGTCACCTAAAAACGTGTTGTTTAGTCATTTGTTGCACTTTACTCCACCCTGTCACTTCTGGTTCCAAAAACACATCGATGCTTCTAGCCAAAAAACAAGATGGCGGCTTCCTAAATCCAAAATGTCTATCTTCGAAACCTTACTACACAAACCTCCCGGTGGCGTCAAAGTGACTACGTCTACTTTTTAAATACAGAATGAGTGTATGTGCAAAGATCTATGGATCAAATGTCATTTCCGAGGTAACTTAAAGGGGACCTATCATGCAAAATGCACTTTTGTACTTTTTTTTTTTAACCATGAATATGTGTCCCCGGTGTTCCAGGGAACTCACCAAGAGTCAGAGAACACAACCCTCTCTATTTTCCTCTATACCCAAATCTCTTAAAAAGGGGCTGCAACGGATCTGATACAGACTGATCCAGATTTGAACACTTCTATGACGTCACAGAAGTGGCGCTACGGCTATTGGGCCAACTCCACCAATCAGGAGGAGACAGCCACGGACATTGCCATTGGAAAGCGCTGGAGACGCTGTAGTACATATGCCAGGCCTGTAGATGGTGCTGTTCTCACAGAATCAGCCCATGCAAAGACAGTGTTACATTGAGCGAAATGAGGAATGCATGATCTGTTTGCTATTTTGAAAAATAAAAAGTATAAATATGCCTTATATAGGTATGGTCCTACACTATATTATTCAAATATAGCATGATAGGTCCACTTTAACTTACATGTTACTTTTCAGACGTTTTTATCCAAAGCAACTTACATACTCAATACTGTCACGGGCAATCCCCACAGGAGCAATTTGGGGTGAAGTGTCTCAGGGACACAACGACATGCTGACTGCAGCAGGGTTTGAACCTGTGACCACCTGATCCCAACACCAACGCAAAACCCACTGCACCATACGCCTCCCAGATTGATTGTTTAAACAGGTTGTAAATCAGAATCAGAAACAGGTTTACTGCCAGGTAGGTTCACACATACGAGGAATTTGACTTGATGTCATGGTGCAGACATAAAATCTTTAAGGACACCGTAATACAATATAGTTAATTAGCAATAAAGTAAAGCAGTAATTTACATGGAAATAGAATGCTATGAATGAATTATAGGATATAAAAATGAAATATGATAAGAAATATATGCAGTGAGCAGTATGAACATTGTGTGCATTAATGTAATGCATATAGAGACTACGTTGTGGCTGAGGTAAAGTGTCAGTGGGGGGGCCGGGCCTTGTTTAAGAGGCCGGTAGCGGAGGAGAAGAAACTGTTCAGCTGGCGAGAGATGTTGGTCCTGATGGAGCGCAGCCTCCTGCCAGAGGGAGGGGGGTGAACAGTTTGTGTCCAGGGTGGGAGGGGTCGGCCACTATCTTCCCTGCCCGCTAAATGGTGGTTTAGATGTCTTCTGAGGTATGGGGCTAAACATTTTATCGGTGTAATCCATGTTACAGATTTGATGGTTTAAAATGACTCATTTGATTTAATTGCAGCCCTCCTCCAACTCCTGTCATCAAATCCAATACTCGGGTCCAGCTAAGAGGAAGTCCACTCCGAATTTCAAAAATGGCAGATCTTCAGGATCCTTTTCATCCCATCAACAAGAGGGGGGTTAACTATTCTATTGATCCATAGATCTTTGCACATACACTCATTCTGTATTAAGATATATGATATCTACGGTATATCTTAATGGGGTGTAATCACCAAAACATATTAAAAGACTATTTGAGAATTTTTTTTTTTAATTTTTTTTTTTTTGTACTTTGTTATAATTATGAGATGAAAAAAAAAGGAACATATATATATTTTTTTTATTATTGTTGTATGTTTTGCTTCTGACATGTTCAATAAATGGACTAAAAAAAAAAAAAACATTTATGCACACATCGATAAAAGTGTCTTTAAGCAAAAACGAAGTCTCTCCTGATTGAAATATATTTAGTTGTAATGTCATTACTTACTTCTACTTTAGGAGATTCACTTCAAGGTTGTTTGCAGAATAGTTCTCAACCCTCCTATTAAATAGATAAGTAAGGCATGTTTTATTTAGTGCCACAGCTTCAATGAAAAGGAACCAGAGATATGAGAGGCACAGGGCAAAGGTCTTGAGGTGGAGCAGCTCTCAAGAGAACTAGAAAAGATTTGAAATAGCTGGTGAGGCTCTGTTAGAGGATTACATTATCTGCATTGTGACCTCTGACCCGCTCTTCAATACATCATCACTCTTGAGTCTCAGACATCCAGTAAACACCAGCCTCAGTGTGGTGAAGTACAGTTTGCAGCACTGCAGATGCACTAAAAAGTTGTCCTTTAGAGATTGAAACATCCAAGCTTCTGCCGCGCTGACTTTAACTGAAAAAGAGGGATAACGATGGAAGAATACGGAGATAAAAAAAGGTAGTGTGACCTTCTTTGTTGGGGGGACAATCCTTCATGACATTTTTTAGAACAGCTTTTACAGATTTGCTGGCATGTGCAATTCTGAATGACAATTTAGGCACTCACTGGGCAAAACATTTCTCTAAAGAAAGGCTCAGGCTTTGTACCTATTGTGAGAGTCCCACTTTTTGCTGCTTGCTTTGATACGGTACTGCTGTGCTTTGGCTGCAGACACGAAAAAGGATTGTTTGGGAAAAAGTCCAGTTTCGCTCTATTTTCAGTCAGCATGAAATGACAAGAACTGGCTTTTTCAGTGACATGAAATATGTGTTGAACTTTCTCAACTTTGTACAAAGGGTACAATGAAATGTATGCGTAGGTACTCCTGTTCATATTCAACACAGTCTCATGGAATTTCGTGTTCACCAACACGATATTTAATCTATTGATTCGTGTTCACCAACACGATATTTAATCTATTGATTCGTGTTCACCAACATGATATTTAATCTATTGATTCGTGTTCACCAACATGATATTTAATCTATTGATTCGTGTTCACCAACATGATATTTAATCTATTGATTCGTGTTCACCAACACGATATTTCCCCTTTTTTTCGTGTTGCACAGCACGATTGTAAAAGCAATGTAAATGATAACAAATTAGAAGGAAAAACAGATACAAAAAAAATACAGATTTCAGTATTCTGACACAGAACGATTTTAGAAGCAATGTATTTCTATTGGTAACTCCATGTTTCGTGCCTGCACCAAATAATAACAAATTAGAAGGAAAACAATATGACAAAAAATACAGATGTCAGTATTCTGAGGCTCTGANTCTAGTACGTAAAATCGGTAAGGAAATAAAGCGAGTTAAAATGTGACAGAGAAACGTACCCCGACTAAGACACCCTCTTGTCGTGGTGAAGATGTCGTCCGGACCCCGGTATGCATACATGATGTCGGCCAGCAAAAGAGCGTCGGGGAGCTTGCCATTTACAGGCCAGGCTACCGCCAGAGGTGGACTAACCCCTCAACCGGGGTATCGGCATCGTCGCGAAGACACTGCGTACTCCACAAGTCTTTAGACCTAGTCAAACATAGTCTAGGCAACGTCAGGGAAGTTCTCTAACCATACTCCTTTTATCTCTCCCAACACAAAAAGAACTGTGAACCACTCAAGGGACCTGTGGCCCTTGCTCTGTCTATAAGGTACATATTTTCTGCATCGTTTTCACGTAAAACCGTACTATCCTGGGAATTATATTTAAAACTTACTATTGTTCGATAAACATTGAAGAAGGTTTTTCACATTCTAGAAGTATCGCTCCAAGTTACATGAACTAAGGGAGTGAAGGTCTTCTCCGTCGTGAAGAAATGTATACGATTGAACGGTATATGCCCTCAAAAGACCCGTAAACTCGAGAGGTACCCCATTAAATAATTCCCCTTCCTTCATACGTCCTTGGGCTCCCCGGTATTAGAAGTTTCACATCTCTTCACGACGAGTAGGGCACGTACGAAGAGTAGGGAATATTAGAAGGTGGGAGGTGAAGTGGTTAATTTTTTTTCCTTCATAAAAGTCTGGAGTTTGGGAAAGACAATTGTGACACTAAATACTTTTCTACTTGTTTACGTAAAGTAGTCTGACATCAGTGAAGGTGACATAACGGACAGAGGGAAGAAAGAGTCAGAGAGAGGGACAAGAGATTGACGGAATGAAAAAAAGCAAAGGGGAGACTGGAGAAACGAACACGGGGTGGATATTAGTGTGGCCAAGTACCGAGAGTAACCTCGGCCGATATATATCGTCATAACAGTCTCCGACGTCTCATGCCTTCTGGACCGTCCGTACCAAGAGAAGAGTGTCCGACAAAGCGTCTTTATATTTTTAGAAGTATCACCTCTCCCTCTCCTAACTCAGCACACCCCCCCAACTCATGCAACGTGCTTCGTTTCCTGCGGCGGTGGTTCCGAGATGTGTGAGGACTTCTCTGATTCGCGTATCTCTTCATCTGTATAGTGAAAATGTTAGGATCATTCTTTTTCCCGTAAACATGATTAAACAATCGCAAGAGAAGACCGAAGACATTAAGTAATGATAGAGCACTGATAAGTAAGTGAAGAGAGTTACCCGCGACTTAACCTTTAATCTTACACAGAGTATTACACAAAAAAGTGAATTGACCTACCCTGTTAATACGTTTACACATGTAATAAGTACTTTCGTGAGGAATGTAGCCATTTACTATTGTTAGGTCCACTACTCAATCCCGGACACAGAGTACCACCAGACGAGAGCGTTAGGTACTCGTGTATGAGTACGCGCACGTTAGTTAAAATTCACCTTCTGTTGTAATCTCACTCGCTAAGATATCGAAGAACCCGTAATATGGTCTTCTTCGAATAGTGGAGATTACACTTTTTTCGGTACAGTAGTACCTCCGTCGTGTTTAGGTCTGTCCAAGTTCCCAAAAATAATAAGCTTCGTCCAGTAAACGAAATTCGTCTGTGTAAGGACGACTTTATTAGACTTTCAACCAGTTTTTTTAGAACGACTAGTTAGGATGCTGTACAACAGACGCATATATTGGTACTCTTGTGACGAATTGAAAAATAAAAAGTATAAATATGCCTCATATAGGTATGGTCCTACACTATATTATTCAAATATAGCATGATAGGTCCACATTAAATAACTGTGGAGATACTTTTTTTTTTAAGGGATAACATGTCAAAGGACCACAGGCTGGATACGAACATCCTGCTAATTTTCTGGTCTTCAGTGAAAACCAAGATTAGAGAACCAATAGAGAAATACTTCTGTAAGCCTGGCAAGAAAATTGACATAATAGAAGAGAATGCTTGACGCGATCATCCCGAGGTGA